AATAACCTCATTATTTTAAATTCATCTTTTTATTTATGTGCATATGTACGAAATAATTTATTAATACAATATTTGATAATAAGGGAAAATGGCGCTATACAGGCGCTTAACGAAAAAGTGTGTCACCCGTGCGATTTCTTCATGAACCATGACACACCAAACATTGTGCCCTCCCTTCCATATTAAACACTTTTACCGTGTCTTGCAGGGACTTGATGGCTTGAAAGTCTCTCATCGATTGAGCACGATCGCAGTAAAACCATAATCGTTGGTTTCACTGATTCATAGAGTATGCGCATATATGTGTGAGAGCAGCGCAGTTTTTCTCGTGTACGTGTGAAAGCAGAAGAGAAAAATGAAATGGCCACCCTTGTTCTAAAGGATCCACTTTTCACTAGCAATTATTATTCTTTTCAAAAATTATTGTTTTCAGTAGCATTTCGCTATATCTACACGCATCTTCAAATGAACTTTATGAATGCGCGGAATACGAAGAAACTGCACATCCTAAACTTTTTGTAAAATTTCAACCAAATAACTTTATTTTTGAGAATGAATCTTAAACGGCCAAAAATTTAATGAAATATCACACACTTATGTGTGAATGATTCTTACGCTTCCAAACTTTACTAATGCCATCGTTACATTCATACGCAATGACTTTTTACTCTACCCATTTAAACGTATAATATGTAATGCGCAAGACCCTTGTATTAACCATTTCAACTATTACTTATGCTTCGCAGAGTTAATGTGGCTTCCCTTTTGATGATAGTTTTAATGAACAAAATGGAATACGCAACAGAGATTTTAAAATGCTTACTGTTACGTTTAGTAGATAAGTCAGTTGTGGGGAAGCATCCACATTTAATGTTACGGCGCACAGAAAGTGTTGTAGAAAAAATGCTTACAAATTACATGGCCATTTGCATGTATGATTACCTAAAGGAATATGCTGGTTCGAGTCTATTTTTACTTTTTAAAGCAATTAAGCATCAAATTGGAAAAGGTCTTGTAGATGCTGTAACGCACGAGGCTCGATACTCACTTTCAGAGGAGCGTCTCTTGCACGAGCAAATTCCACATTCAGTTGTAGTCTTACATATTGTTCAGGATGATCTTGACGAAAAGGTGCAATGCAAAGTACTTGATTGGGATACTATTTCGCAAGTGAAATCAAAAATATTAGATGCCCTTTTTAAAAATACACCATTTTCTTGTCGACCGTCAGTGCACGAAGTAGATTTGGAATGGCGTCATGGTCGTGGCGGCCATCTTACCTTGCAAGATGAAGATCTAACTACAAAAACGATAAATGGATGGAAACGTCTCAATACACTAGCCCATTACGGTGTTAAAGAATCAGCTGTAATGTCGTTAATAGCACGCCAAGGTGATGGCTATAACATGCATTACAGCAAGCAACAACCGCCGTATCATAATTGTAAGCCAATCATTAAAACTCCTGAGAAGATTAAGATATTATTATATTTATGTATTATGTAGATATATTACTATTATGTTTTTTTTTTTTTAGTTTACTACATAAACAATTCACAATCTCATATTATTATTAATAACGACATCGAAAGCGGGCTGCAACAGCCGAGAGTTTATCATCTGGTTAAAGCAGTAGTACCCGATCATTATATGAATATAAAAAATGCTGTAATTTCTGGGAGTAACGTTACTACTTCTGCTTGTAGTGCTACTAGTGAGCGTGTAAACAAGACTATACCTGAAGTTTATTTAACAAGATTGTTGGCAGCGAAAGGGACAATACAAAAATTTGTTGATGATTTTTTTGCTACAATACTAACAGTGAACGAAGAATTACCACCGGCTGTTAAATGGTTATTCGATCTACTGGACGAGGCAGCACGCAGGAACGAGGTTGCTGATATGGAAATTCTTCATGCTTGGAAATCCAACAGTTTGCCTTTGCGATTTTGGGTGAATTTTATAAAAAATCCGGACTTCATTTTTGATATAAATAAGACGGTCACATTGGATTCATGTTTAAGTGTCATAGCGCAAACTTTTATGGATGCATGTTCCACATCCGAACACCGCTTGGGTAAAGATTCTCCATCGAACAAGCTGTTGTTTGCAAAGGTTTGTTTCAGAAGTAAGATAAACTATTTGTTGATGATCATCACTTTATTTAAAGGACATTCCCCAATACCGTAAAATGGTTAAACAGTTTTACCGCGAAGTCGCGCGTTTGCCACAGATAAGTGACCAGGAAATGAATACGGCCATGCAGCAATTGTCAGTTCAGCAGAGTGACGAATTTGACACCATAGCGGCATTGAAAGAGCTCTACATATACGTTACTAAGTACAGAGATGAGGTAAGTTAAAAAGTAACCGTTTCAATATCGCTTCACTAGCTTTTCTGCCGTTATGTGATAAGTATACGTGATTTTGATTTTTGATCAAAGTTGCTTGTTACTGAATTTTTGGCCTTTTCAAAAATACTATTAAATGGTACCCGCCAGTTATATTCCAATTTTGGTCTTATTCCTCAACTCCTGTTTCTGCGCCAGTATTCCATTGCGCAAACGACCTCATAGGCTGAACTATATAAGTGCTATTTGTTCGATTTCAAACATGTTAATACTACCGATGGCAATTACTGCACTGAATTTGGTAGAGATTCTAAAGCGGGTAGTGAGAAACACATATCCCATACTAAGTGGTTGGTGCCACGACCGTTTTCCAAATTTTTGTAGTAGAATTTTTTAATGAAGCTATTGTAAAAATCAGTCTTTAGTGAGTTCGCTTCAGTTCGCATTCAATTATCGAGGAACTGGGCGTGGTGATTTTTCCTCAGGCGCAGGGAAATACAAATACGCACGGAATGACTCGGGTTTCACCCGACCAAGGGCTGTTGTTTCGGCGAT